CTTATCCAGTCCAATGACTGATTTAGAACCGAAACAGCTTCCTTGGATTTCGATGGAATGGAGAGAGAGAGTTGGGTGTCATCCGCAGACTGGTGACACTGAACTCCAAAACTCTGGATCACCTTTTCCGGCAGTTTCATGTCGATGTTAAATAGCATAGGGGACAAAACAGAACCCTGAGGGACCCCACAGGCCAATAGACAGGGGGTCCAACAGGAGTCCCCCAGCACCACCCTCTTGAGTTCTCCCTTCCAGGAAGGACTGGAGCCACCGTAAAACAGGGCCTCCAGGCCCCATCCCAGACAGACGGCCCAGAGGGATACCAGGGTTAATGGTCTCAAAAGCTGCCGAGTGGCCCAGCAGAACCAACAGGGACACACTCCCCTTGTCCAGATCCCAGCGTAGGTCGCCCACCAAGGCGACCCAAGCTGTCTCTGTCCCATCACCATGACGATCACTCATTAAATGAGGACACCCACATAACATCAAAATATCTAAAAGGCTTCACTGCAAAAGAGGCGCAGTTATCCTACATCAAGTTGCACTTACAGTGTTAAGCCTTTGTTATTAGAGTCAAAGTCAAGCAGCAAAACATACCCTTATGTTTTCAGCAATCTCTGCCCAGTGTCAACCAAAAAAAGGATTCTAGGTAGGGAATACTTTTTCTGTTCCATGAACGTCATTTATTGTTCTTGGAAAGTATGCAAAAAAGGGGGTTAAAAAGCCCCACTACTTCCAGTTGCTTCCTTTTTGTCCTGATGGTTCAGGTGCTGTGAAGTGTGGGAATCCTCATGGATCAGGAACCATGGCGTCGCACATTCTTGATAGAATTCACTCTGTTTCATGCAGTTTAAACTCTTCAGGTGCTTCATAAAACACATCTAGAAGGCATCTGGGTTTAGAATGAGCCACATCAGTTTTGCTATTAGCGTCTTCTCTTTATGACTGATTTGTTAAACGCTTTATAACCCATTCATTAAAACTCTAGATTTTTTTTCCCAAACAGAAACCTAGCAAACTACAAACATTCAGAGCTCAAAACAGAATTTGACAGGTCATTAAAAAAAACCAAACCAACACAACCCTATATGATTACCGTATTTTTCGCACTATAAGACATACTTTTCCCCCACAAAACAGGGGGATGGAAAGTCTGTGCGTCTTATGGAGCGAAGAAAACAGATAATTTTTTCCTGTTTTCTTCTCCTAAAAATTTGGTGCATCTTATGGAGAGGTGCGTCTTATGGAGCGAAAAATACGGTACATGTATTGTCATACTGCAGACCCTATTAATAATAATCAGGTGCTGTCAAGTCAATTCTGACTGATGGTGACTCTTTTCAGGATTTCCAGGTAGAGAAAACTCAGAAGTCGTTTGCCATTCCCATCTTCAAGGGATGCTCTGGGACTGTACAGCTTACCCAAGGCCACACAGGCTGCCTCTAGCTAGCCTGGACATCATATTACATGGAAGTATATTCTGCAAAATACTGACTGGAAAAAAATCATAGAAGGAATGTATAGATATAAGTCAATGAAATTACATTTACCGTTTATGTAAGGTAAATATGTATACTTTTTAACCACAGCATTTGAACGGAGAAGCAAAACTTTAATACTACATGAGTACTAGTCTCTTAGAAATAGACTGAACAACTAGAAAGATAAAATATACCTTAGCTCACTGGTTCTTAACCTTGGGTTACTCAGGAGTTTTGGACTGCAACTCCCAGAAGCCTTCACCACCAGCTGTCTTGACTGGGGTTTCTGGGAGTTGCAGTTCAAAAGCATCCGAGTAACAAAGGTTAAGAACCACTGCCTTAGCTGATCCCTTTGCCAATATTTGAATGATGTTTCAGAAGGTGTCAATGAAATCTGATTGATATCGTTCAAATACAGTTATCTCCTGATTGTTCTACAGGAAGAAGCAAAAGCCACAAAAGTCAAAAAGCTATTGAATGCAAAGTATACAGTTTAGAACAACAGCATAATATGCAACAATACCATTATCCTTCCAGCATTGCTACCTCATGAGCAACACCCAGGATCTTACATTGGAAGCCCGATTTATGCTTTTATGGGGTGGATATTTGGTGAGATGTCCAAAACCATACTCTTAGCTGTAACATAGAGAACGAAATCCTTCACACATCTGTTATAAAGGCACTTCCTCACTGCTACAGCCTTTCTCTTAACATACGAGGAAATGGTATTTGCAAGGCTGTTTTTAAAATGTTTAACACAAACAATGTTTATCACAGAACCCTTTTTCACATGAAATAGGGGGGAAAAGCATAAAATTGTTTTGGATACTACCATTTTCCAGGAGGAACACACGAGACCCGCTTAAATTCAGTCTTCTGTCTATACTGTACAACTATGAAAGGGCTAATTTTCAAAGTTCTGCCTTGTGTTAATTATTTTGCAGCAAAAACAACAGCACGGCCCGACACCTTACAGGTTTATTACAGATTTGCTGTATTTTTAAGCAGCATGCTTTATTATTGCACAAGATTTTGAGGGCACGCACAGTCCCTGAAGGCAGAACAGGAGCGAGAGATACATTTATGCAGTATATATAGTGGGTTGAGATGCATGCAGTGAACGGTTGAGATGCATGCAGTGAACAGGGGACGCTGTATTTTTAAGCAGCATGCTTTATTATAGCGCAAGATTTTGAGGGCACACACAGTCCCTGAAGGCAGAACAGGAGCAAGAGATACATTATGCAGTATATATAGTGGGTTGAGATACATGCAGTGAACAGGGGAGGGTTTTAAATACAGCATGTTTTCAAAAGCTCTTTCCAGCATCTCGCCAGAGATTTGTGACAGGATGCAAAGTCTCATCGCCCTATCAAGTGCGAGGATGATTCCTTGCAATTGCCACTGCTTAATATTTCTGCACTTAAGTTCTGTGTATCCAGGAAAGCTCAGGCTATAATAAATGTCAGAATTTTCAAGTGTGCCGCAAATTTCTGTGGCATGACAGGAGCAAGACGAAGAGTGTGCCTTTTTTGCACCAAGTCTCCTTGACAGCAATATTACTGTTACTTCCTGTTTTTCAAGTGCTTTTTCTGGATTCAGAAAAAGAGCTTAAAAGAACACGAAGTTGCCGGGTTGCATCTCAGTCTACCTTAACTCTTTGGCCCCCCATACAACCCTCGCTAGAACTGCGAACGGTATCCTTTGGCTGGGGCGGGCGGGCTCCGCCCCCTAAGCCCCGCCCCCTGCCTTACACCCGGCTCCTATTGGCTGCGGCCCCAACAGCTCCTCCTTCCCACGCGAGGAAGGAAATAGAGAGTCGGAGGGGTTAGTGGTAGAGCGGCTCTTTTCCTCCTCCCCTGTTTCCTGGTGGCGCAGGGCCTGATGGGAACATCCGGAGCTTCAGGAAGAGACGGAAGGGGGCCCGTTGTGTTTGGGTGGGTGGGGGAGGGGAAGGGAGAGGGCCGCATCCCTGGGAACAAGGTGAGCGGAAACCACCTGGCTTTTTTAAAAGAAACTTATTGTTTTTCTCTTTTAGGTGTAAATAGCCACTTATATCTATGGAATGCAGACGTTTGTGTCGGCTAGATCTGTATAAAGGTACATCTGCACGGGTAAATAGATGCGTGTATGCAGGTTCACACGTGCACTGGTGGCGTTATGTCTGTTTCTCTCTCGCAGGGGAGCCTTCTGTGAGGTGGTTTCTGGCTTAGGACTCTGGCCTTTCAGGGGAGGGAGACGTGGGAGGGGGGGCTGTCTGGAATGCTAGCAAGCCAGGAGGTCGAGGGAGCCTCCCCTGTGCCAGGGGAGACGGATAGTGTGTGTGTGTGTGGAGGGGCCGATAGCTTTGCG